TGCTTCAAACACTTTCTCATCCTCAAAATCTACCATTAATAATAATTTTTAGAAGCTAAGATTTTATTCCAGGTTTCCACCTTAGGGGAGTTTTCTTTTTATCTTGGCATTACAAATCTTTGAAAGGAAGCATTTAGAATGGAAGGCATGATAGATTTTTTAAATGCAATACGCAGCTACTGAGCTCCAGACTATAATTACTGTCATGCTAAAGAAGGTTAAATATTTATGAAGAATGTGCTTTTTATCATTCAGTCTAATTTTTAAACCTGAATTCTGTAATCGCATTGAAATGCCAATAATCAAGGGAGGTTTCTTTCTTGGCAGGCTTAAGATTTTTCCCAGCATCATTTATTTGTAAAGCATGGCCTGCTGGCGATATATGCAAACAAAATCTTTGGAGTTTTTTCATTTTGGACCAAAAATCAATTTGAAAATATTTCCGCCAAACAACTTCTTAGGCACTGCCTAACTGACTTTTCCCAGAGATTAGAAATTTGGCTTCCCTCTTTTATGTATATTGAGTTTTGTGTTTTTTCCTCCAGATTTGGTTAGGCTGAATACCAAAGTGAAAAATAATCTTAAATTTTTACTAGCATAGATTACCATACTGAAATCACAAGGTAGGATTTTCTAGAGTTTGAAGCTAAAATATACTAGCTATGTTTCACCCTCTATTACAGCTCTGTAATCAAACTACTAAAAAAAACAAATAGGAAAAAATATTTCTGTTTTATAATTTGATTCATGCACATCAAGCTCCACCATTTTCATGTTTGATAGTTTTATCTATATTAAACTAGAAGAATTATGCAAAGAGATTTACTAGAAAAGTTGTCCTAAAAAGATGTATAAATTATGATTTTAAAGATAATAGGATTTTTAAAAACTTTTAAACTTTAATTTAAAGGCATTGTTTGTCTTTAGGAAGCATTAGGAAGAAAGTCACAATCATGTAAAACAGGCTGTAGACAGGCATCATATACTTAAATTGCAATCCAAATTTTACCTGCTTAATCCAAGAGACATTTAAATGTTTTCTCGTCATCTGATAGCTCCCTGAGAGTCCCGCAATTCTGTCTGTCATTTGTGCAGGCACAGAACAGAAAAGGTAATTCTCACCTAAGCTAAGGAGTCAGAAGCTAAGTCAGAATAGTGCCAAAGCCTTTAGGTTGGCAGAGGAGGAGGAGGAAGTTCTTGCTGAATCTCTTTCCAGCACAGAGATACTGAATTGGATCGCCATTGGCATTGCTTTCTAGCTTTTTCCTTAAATACTTAGCTACTGGAGGAGGAATTGATGACAATGTGACCATCTTTTCTCTTACAGACTTGTGGCCAGCACACTTACCTGGGAAGTGAGGCTTGTCTAAGAGACAAGGAGTCCTGGGTTTGATTCTTGATTCTAGGACTATTTATGTACTTATATTAAGTATACTTTGTTTAAAAAAAAAAAAAAAGAATGAGAGAAACAACAGAAAAGCAAATGCTTAGATCAGAGTTTGGTACCAACCTACTCTATCTGGAGTCCTTCAGATGACTAGCCTGTGCATTTGGTGTTCTTTTCTGCTCAGCAGCACACCTTCTGTCGAAGGCATGGAAGTCCCTGACTTGCTGGTAAGGGCTCTGTATTTGCAGAATAAATACATAGGTTTGACCCTACTCATGCTGAAGAGGGTCCTCCACTTCTTTGCAAAGCATGCCAATCCCTGGCAGGGAGTGGGAGGTTAATTTAACTGAACTCTATGTATAGTCTACTTCTGAGGCAGGAACCCTTGACTACCCTAGCAGTCAATGGATAGCACATTTAGAATGTGATTTGTCTTATCAAAGAGTAGATGTCAGATCAGCCAATCTCCCCCGAAAGTCTATTTCTTTCCATTAGCTGGAAAGGGAGCCTGAAGTAATTAGCTCAGTCACAGCTGCTTAAAGCTGCATGAAATAAATGCTACCCGCTAGTATCCGTAGGAACACCATCACCATGCTGCTTTATTTTAAAGAAGCCAAGTATTCCTCAGTTCTGTGAAAGATAGGGCCCTGTTCTTGAGAGGAGATGCTGGATGCTCCTTCCAGGAGAGCTGGAAGGATCACCCCAAACTCACAGAAGAAAGGACCTCTTAGTCCAGTGTTTTATGCTGGGTAACTCTATGCAACTCTCTGCTAACAGTGAAAGGTAGCCTTTCTGAGAGATCTAAGTCATCTTGTACATCAGATAGGGAATATAGGGGGCCAAATTCTGGCTTAGATTCTATTCTTGGAAACAGGGTAGGCTTTTATATCCTCAGTAGGTTTTTCACAGCTACCAGAAAGTCTTCTAAGAGGCCTAAGCATCTTATTGGTATCAATGAATTTGAGTTGCAAAGCATCTTGTATTTAAAATGTATTTAAAATGCTTCATTTGATTACAATTAATGTAACCACTAAGAACTGAAAAAAATGTTAACTGACGTTTATAAAATACTGTTTCTTCTATCCAAGCTGTAAAGCTGGGAATATATAACTTGAAAGCTTTAAAGCTGGGAGTATATAACTGTTATGAGTATAATATTTGACTTTTTCTCTGTTCAGTTTTGTTTTATTGCCAACCTGAATGTACAGAGTTAAATCACAGGAAACGGTAACAAGGCTGTTAAAGAACTGAGCAGAGCAGGTAGAACAATGGCACAGATAAGGGAGCCTCAGGTATATAACTTCAAAGAATTTTAGATAAGAGTGGCTGCTGGGCTATTGGGAGACAAACTGACTCCGTCTGGGCTGGAATGGAGCGCTCTTTCTAGGGCTGGGCCTAAAAGGGGAGGAGGCATGAATAGATTAGGAAAGGCAGTGAGGGCTGAATCAATTAAAAGCTGACAGTCAGACTGAGAGAGATGGGGAAATACTAGGTACAGTGAGCTGAGTGGGGTGGGCTTTTTTTCTTTTTCTTTCACCTCCAGTGATGAGGTTAGCTGAGTTCAGGGGAATATACAAAGAACCAAAGCTTTCACACAGTTCTGTAGATGCTGCTTTTTAGGAATTCATGTTTTACTTTTTGTTCTGAAGGTATGACCACTGTGTCATTATAGAGCTGTAGGATCCTGTAGAGAAGTCTGAGAAAAGTCATGACTAGCATGTTATTGTGATCCAGATCAAGCCTGGGAGAGGATAAGACATGCAGTCCCATGCAAGAGAGGTGGGGTAAGGTCAAGCAACCTTAAGGTACATTCAAGAAAATCCAAAAGAAACAAGAGTTTCAGATACCTGTTAGCTGTGACACTAACATTCGTAAGTGCTTCTCTAGTATTATATTAAAGAAAAAGAATGTTTTTAAGTCTGGACTCTTCCAGGGATCTGACCTGAAAGAGGCAGACTGAGGACTGTCAAGATGAATAGATGATTTGCCTGTGGCAAATATATTTTTGAGCAAGGTTAGAAGTCAGAATCCCATGTTCCCAATTTTATGTTGTGCCTACTCTGACCAGAGTGACTTTGTACAGAAGTTGCCCTTGTTGAGTAACATATAAAACTAAAATACTAGAGTGTATTTAGCCTTTGTTATCCATTCTCCATTCATCTTTTTATTCTTTAGATATGCTTTACCCAGGAGAAGAGTGTGTTTTTGCAAAGCTGTTCTGAGTCCTTTGCTGCTTGGTATTCATGAATGCATAAAGGGCTCACCTTTGAACTCTGTTTATGGTGTGTTAATAGCATTGTATTGCATTTATTACTGATCAGGATCTAGGAAAGGGAAATGTCTTTAGATGATCACTTGTGGCTCTTTTTGGCTCCTTTAATTCTAAGTAGAACAAGAGATGAAGGGACAATAAGTGCTGAAACAGGTTGCTAGGTCTGGAAAAAAAATACTCAGAATACTAAAAGTCATATTAACTCTACTACGCCAATAGTTGCTCTACTTATACTATGCTACCTATATTCTCTTTGTTCTTTGAAACAATTTCATTGTCCTTGAAATGCTATGTGTTACAGGCAAAGCATAGAATATTTGAGGAATTCAGAATAGATAAATCATTAAATATTAGCAATAGAGTAGAATCTCTTTTCTTTCTCTAGCAAGTACTTTATCAGGGCTCTTTAACTCCAGTTACACTCCTTACAAAAATCACTGATTTGAAAGGCCAGGCATGGCATTGGGAGTTGAGGGAGAATTGCAGAAGTGATAAATATTGGAATGACATGATTTAAGGGAACTAATTTAATTCTCTCACAAAACTGGAGAAAAGTTGTTTCCTTCCAAAAATCCCTTCATAGGGAGTCTTAGAAGAAATCCTTTCAC